CTCCCTAACGACTTCTTTGAGATGACCGTATCAAGATGTCTTTTCCAGGGTACGAAGGGACGATTTCATGTTACAAATGATAATAGAAGTATAAAAGGTGCCGTGTTTGTCCGTTCCCAAGCTAGTTCCGTTACGACGTATCCTATTAATATCTTAGTCTCAATTACTAACTCTATTTTCCAAGACCTGGGCCATCAAGACAACAGCTTCGCTGTATCCGTAAGAGTTGACAACCTCTTTGGCAATGGGAATATATTATTATTCAACACGTCGTTTCTTAACAACGAAAATTCTGTCTTTGTCCATGGCGGATTTGGCCTTAATTTGACTCACGTGACGGTTACTTCCACTTATGGGTGTGCTATCATGGCCAGTGCTCCCCCTAAAACATTAATTAAAGCACCTGGTGTTAGGGTTTTCCTTGAAAAGTGCGTCCTAGTGAACAACCGGAATGGCATAAGGATGTCAACGACTACTTGCTTAGATAGTACGGAGGCCTTTTGTTCAACGGCCGACCAAACGCTTGTTGTAAAAAGCAGTCTTATACTGGGAGGTAATGAAACATTAGGCACTGGTGATGCAATCAAATTTGAAATGAGTTTCCCTAAATATAACGATAGTCGTGCGGTCTTGAGGCCAGGTAAAGAAGAAGTATATTTGTCGCCAGATTTTGAAGGAAAACTACTTCTTGAAAATGTCACTTTCCACGGGTTACATGGCTATGCACTATCTTTTAGTACAGAAAAAAACGTACGAGGGCTCATCTCGGTGAAAAACTGCAGATTTCTCAACAACACCCAGTTTGTGAATCGACTATATGAACGAGGAACTATCCAAATTGAATTTCCGAACGACGATCCGCCAAAATGTCCACGTGCATCAAAAGGAAACGAAAGTAAGGAACTGGTCTGGGACAAGAAGTCGGAGCTACCGGTTATAATTGAAGATACTTTATTTGAAAACAACGTGGGCATCTCTGGAGCATTGAGCTTTTTGAATGGCAATGTCACTATCAAGAACTGTGCATTTAAAAACAATGAAGGAGTGGCTTTGGGAGGTCATGTTTATATGAAAACAGGTTTCGGCATTCTGAATATCAATAACTGTAGCTTCCTGCAAAAAGAAACAAGTTTGATAGATCATTCCCGCGTGTCAGCCGTTGGTTGTTTTCTTCGATCCGAGAGCGCCGGTCCGTTAAAGATTCAAAATTCGTCCTTTGTAGCAGACGTTAATCAGGAATTCGATCCAATCTTTGCTGCGACGAAAAGCAATACGATAAAGATCGACAGTTCGACCTCCTTCAAATGTCCAGATGGAAAACAGATTAAGCTCGAAAACATCGAACTTGTCAGAGGAAGAGAGACTTGCTGGATAAGCGTAGCTCATTTAAAATTTCTTTGTGAAGAGTGTCCGGATGGATTCTATAATTTAAACAGAGGATCTTCCAGTGGTCTGGATATTCACAAGGAAACAAAATGTCTTAAATGTCCTTACGGGGCAACGTGTGAAAATGGAGACATTAAAGCCCAAGAAAACTTTTGGGGCTGCTACTCTTCACCACTGTCAACTAAGCTGGAGTTTCATCCCTGCCCACTGGAATACTGCAAACCTCCTACCCGTCCTAATACTCACGCTTTTAATGGTTGCCATGGCAGCAGGACAGGCGTTTTATGCGGCCAATGCGCTGAGGGATTTAGCGAAGACTTATATTCTACATCTTGTCGAGAGAGAGAAAAATGCCATGATCACTGGTTTTGGATAGCGAGTTTAATCTACGTAATAATGTTGTCTCTCTACCTCGTTTTCAAGCCGCCTATCTTCCCGTGGCTGTATCGGCAATGCTTGTGGTTTAGAAAGAAATCCAACAGCAGCCAAAGACAGGCAGCGCCACATGAAGCAAACGATGAAGAACACGATGCTGGATATTTCAAGACCATCTTCTACTTTTATCAAGTTGCTGAGATACTGATGATCAAGTCCCCTGAGGCAGCCCTTCACATAGTTCCTTTTGTTACACCAGTCATTGCACTTTTTAATTTCCAGGTACGGACCATTAATGGCAGCATTGGATGCCCATTTCCTGGCTTCAATGTTGTCACCAAAGAGCTGTTTTTGTGCTTGAAGTTCCTGGCGACATTGCTCTCCATTGCTATGATTTATGCCATCCATCGAGTCATAAGTCGGTTCCGGCACATTCCTAAACCTTCC